GTGTGTGTGTGTGTGTGTGTGTGTGTGTGTGTGTGTGAGAGTGACAGAATGTGAATTAGAAAGCAACAGAGAGGGAGAGAGACAGTGAAAGAGTGAGGACCGAGACAGAAAGAGGGACAATCAGAGATAGAGAGAGGGAGAGAGGGAGGGAGAGAGAGAGGGAGAGAGAGAAGCGATAGAGAGAGACAATCAGAGACAGGGGGAGGGAGAGAGAGAGGGAGAGAGAGAGTGAAATAGAGAGGAGTGAGAGAGAGAGGGACAATCAGAGACAGAGGGAGGGAGAGAGAGTGAAAGAGAGAGAAGCGAGAGAGAGAGAGAGACAATCAGAGACAGAGGGAGGGAGAGAGAGAGGGAGAGAGAGAAGTGAGAGAGAGAGAGACAATCAGAGACAGAGGGAGGGAGAGAGAGTGAAAGAGAGAGAAGCGAAAGAGAGAGAGACAATCAGAGACAGAGGGAGGGAGGGAGAGAGAGTTTAAGAGAGAGGAGCGAGAGAGAGACAGACAATCAGAGACAGAGGGAGGGGGAGAGAGAGAGAGGAACGAGAGAGAGGGACAATCAGAGATGGAGAGAGAGAGGGAGAGAGAAAATGAAAGAGAGAGGAGCCAGAGAGAGATGGACAATCAGAGACAGAGGGAGGGAGAGAGGGAGGGGGAGAGAGAGTGAAATAGAGAGGAGTGAGAGAGAGAGGGACAATCAGAGACCGAGGGAGGGAGAGAGAGAGAGAGAGGGTGAAAGACAGAGGAGCGAGAGAAACAGGGACAATCAGGGACAGAGGGAGGGAGGGAGAGAGAGAGAGAGGGTGAAAGACAGAGGAGCGAGAGAAACAGGGACAATCAGGGACAGAGGGAGGGAGGGAGAGACAGTTTAAGAGAGAGGAGCGAGAGAGAGACAGACAATCAGAGACAGAGGGAGGGGGAGAGAGAGAGAGGAACGAGAGAGACAGAGGGAGAGAGAGAGGGAGGGGGAGAGGAGCGAGAGAGAGAGGGTCAATCAGAGACAGGGAGGGAGGGAGAGAGAGAGAGGAGCGAGAGAGAGAGGGACAATCAGAGACAGAGTGAGAGAGAGAGGGGGAGAGGGAGAGAGAGAGAGGGAGAGAGAGAGGAGTGAGAAGGAGAGGAGTGAGAGAGAGGGACAATCAGAGACAGAGGGGGAGAGGGAGAGAGAGAGAGGGACAATCAGAGACAGAGGGAGTGAGAGAGGGAGAGACAGAGGGAGAGAGAGAGGGAGAGAGAGAGGAGTGAGAGAGAGAGGGACAATCAGAGACAGAGGGAGAGAGGAAGAGAGAGAGAGTGAAAGAGAGAGGGAGAGAGAGAGGGACGATCAGAGACAGAGGGAGAGAGAGAAGGGAGAGAGAGAGGGAC